CATTTTATTCTTTTTTTTTTTTTTTTTGGGTCTGAATATGCCATTTTATTCTTGGTCTCTGCTTCTGTTTTAATTTGTTGTGATTAGAAACAGTTAAACTGGAAAGGTAATATTCTTTGTTCATCAAGTTAGCAGAGAACCATCCAACTTGCATCTGTCAGCTATACTGGGTTACACATGGCCCAACGAACTACATTTTAAACCTGGATAGTATAGCCCCTTCATTGAAATGATTTGACCCACACTACTCGAAGAAAAGTTGGGCCTTATATACTACCATGACCAACTAGTTTAACTCACGTTTGCGTTATAGAATATGGGGTTATTGACCGAAATGGCTCTCCAATTATTGCTCCAGTATCATTTTGGTCTACCAACTAAAATTTTCATTTCAGTGGTCCTTTAACTTTTCATTTGGTGTCAAAATGGTCCTACTGTCAAAGTTTGTCAATTTTAGGGTTAAATTGAGGGGTAAAACCGTCCATATAAACTAAACTCCATCTCAGCTCTCTGCTCTCCCCTTCCCTCACCTCCCTTATGTTTTTTTTTTTCTCATCTACAATAACATAAACAGCAACCAACACAATTTTTGAAAACCAAATCAAAGAAGTAGAGTGTGTTCAGCGTCCCTTGCTCTTGAGTTTTGGGCAATATCATTTCCTCAAATTTTTTGCCCAAATTAGAATCTTGGGGCTTGGGGCTGGGGTTGGGGCTATGGGTTGCGGGTGGGGATGAGGTGGTCAGGTCACGAGGGAGAATAAGCAGAGGGGTGTGTTGGGGGAGGTTGCAGAGTTGGCATGTGAGGCAGTCTTTTTGTATAAATCTGGGTTTGTTTACTCTTTTAAAAAATTTGTTATTTTATTTTTGTATTTATTAATTTAAACAATAGAGAATTATTATTATTATTATTAAACAATAAAATTGACAAACTTTAACGGTAGGACCGTTTTGATACCAAATGTGTTGGCGAGTCCTTACTTAGTTAGGATTTTGGTTCTTTATTTCATTATAATTTTGGTTACTTACCAATTATTATTTAGTATTATTGTAAAAAAGATTTACTTCCTATTGTAATTTAGATATATTTCCTATTTTATTGAGGGATAACACATCTTTGTACTTGTATAAATACCTCTATATTGGAGAAGAATAATAATATGAGCGTATCTGAGCATAATTGAATATTTGCCATACTTTGTTTGACATGGTATCAGAGCCAGGTTCCTAACCTGTAATAACCTCTGCCAAATTGAGAGTTGTCGGCACTCCTCATTCCTAACCCATCGTGGGTCTTCATCTTATATAGTCATCTTCTTTTGTTCATCCTCTCATATGTGTTTTCACCGCACCTAGCCTTCACATGCTTCTGTGCTACTGTTCTAAATTTTTTATTTTTCATCTTTGTATGCTAGATGGTCTTTCTTGATGTCTCAGCTTCTCTATCTTTGAAACTTCATAACAAGTCTCTTTACTCCGTGAGCCTCGTCATTGCTCACTGAGCTGTTGCTTTCCTCCGCGAGCCTCGTCACCGCTTGCCGAGCCTTTCCTTTGATTGTTCTACTGGTCTCTATCTTATTCGGCTGCTCTCTTAAGTTGGCTTTCAGCTTCTCAGTTTTGAGCACCATTTCTCTGTTTCTCTCTTTGCTCTATTTATCTCTCTTTTATTTATGTTTATCTCTTTTGTTTGTCTATGCCCAATGGCTGGTGTTTGTTGTGTTCTTTCCCCACGCCATCGCTCCATCTCTGTCACTCTAGCCTTTCTCGTTGGGTGTTTATTATTTATTTTTCTATCTCCTTTCTTTTTGCCCTTATGCTTATTTCCTTCTACCTTTGGCCCCTTTCCAATATTCATCCATTTCTCTGTCTGTCTATTTCCTCACAGACACCTTTCTTTGTCATTATTTTCCTTCAATCACAGCATTAGTCTCTCATTTTTTTCGGTTCTAGCACCTCACTTTCTTCCACTAGTTTCTTTTTATAAACTGTCACATACAATTTCCCATGCTTTACTTTTTAATATCTTTAGTTTCTTCCTCTTTGATCTACCGATGTGATTTCCCCTGTTATGCATCCGAACTCTTTTCATGTCCTCTCTGTTTCTCATCTTTTTCTTTTTACCAACCTTTTCCATTTTGTTGTTCTCTTACTACATTATCTCTTGCTTTCACAACTCCCTTATATAATATTGCTTTCCTTTGATGGGCACTCTATCTATTCCTATTCCACACATGAAGGGTTTCTTTTTTTCGGTGTCCTTTGCTCTTATTCCCGTTTGAGCACCTTATCTTTGTCTTTGTCTCTGTTCATGATTTGCTGGGTTTCCTCCCTTACTATTCTCCTTTTATGAAGTTTTTTCTTCATGGGATAGCCACATGCTACCTCCTTCCCCTCTTGCATTTGTTTCCGCCACGAGACTGGCATGTTTGAGTCTCTTTACTTATTTCAATTTCTCTTCTTCCAAATCTCGACCCTTTACCAGTGCCAGATTTGATGGGGAGATAGATGCAACTTTATTTGGGTGCTGCAACTTTATTTTTCGGTGTTTCTTTCTCCAAACCTCGACTCTCATACACCCTCATATTTGAGGGGGAGTGACACCACTGCTCATCTATTCTGCTGCAATTCAGTTACCTATCTGCCATGGCTGATTCTTCTACATCTAAGGGTCAATCAGCTTATGTTTTTTAAGTGCCACTTCTCTTATGGTTCCGACGACCCCTTCTTTTTAGGGGGAGAGGGGGGAGTGAAGAGAAGTTGTCTCTGTAATAATGGAAGTATTTGTCATTGTTATTGATGTTGACTACTATGTCCTTTGCCGGTGCCAGTATCGTTGCTCATACATGTTGGGTCTCTTGCTGGGGACAATGTTATTGCTCCTGCCTATTATGACTGTTGCTGGGGACAATGTTGATGATGCATGTTATGTCCCTGCCTTGTTACTCTTGCTGGTGCCAGTGCTTTGTATTGCTATTGTTGGTGCCAGTATTGTTGCTCATGCCTTTGCTGGTGTGTTTTCGTTGTGGTCACGCCCGTTGACCTTGCCTTGCTCTTGACTTTCTTTGCCTTACCTTACCTTATTTTTTTCAAGGTTTGGCTTTACCTTGCCATGCTTTACCATGCTTTGCCTTACCTTTCCTTACTCTATTTTTTTAGGGTTTGGTTTTTGCCTTACCTACTGTCGTACTCACAGGGTTTCTATGTTCTGCCTTATCTACTGCCGTGCTCACAGGATTTCTATGTTCTGCCTTACCTATTGCCGTGCTCACAGAGTTTCTGTGTTCTGCTATGTGCCATATTTTTTAGGGTCTGCTCTTGTGTTTCCATTGCCAACTTTGCTTTAGTTTGTCACTTGTTTCACTCGTGGTTGACGAAAAGACCTTCTCTACAATTGGTGCTTCTCAAGTATGGTGTTCTATGACTCGCTTGTCAAGTTGGGTGTGAGAAATATCTTTGCCCAACTTGAGGGGGAGTGTTGGCGAGTCCTTACTTAGTTAGGATTTTGGTTCCTTATTTCATTATAATTTTGGTTACTTACCAATTATTATTTAGTCCTATTGTAATAGAGATTTACTTCCTATTGTAATTTAGATATATTTCCTATTTTATTTAGGGTTAACACATCTTTGTACTTGTATCAATACCTCCATATTGGAGAAGAATAATAATATGAATGTATCTGAGCATAACTGAATATTTGCCTTACTCTGTTTGACAAAATGAAGAGTTTAAGGACCATTGAAATGAAAATTTTAGTTGATGAACCAAAATGATACTAGAGCAATAGTTGAGGGACTATTTTGATCAATAACCCTAGAATCTAAATTATAAATAAGACCTTATAATAGGTCCTGTCAGCTCTGAATTGTACATTTTATTTTATTATTTTTTATAAGTCGTGCAATGTTTATTTAGTACATCTGGTGTACGGCATTAGGTTTTGATTAAAAGAAATAAACTATTGAGAATACTGAATCAAAGATTTAGTACATGTGTTCTAATTTGGATTTGATTCTATACACCGCATTAATATTATAGCATGTAATGAATTATATTCACTGAATAATCTTTTCCTAAGAGAGTTCACATGTGGGCAACCCGCTTTGATATCATGAAGGAAATTGAGGTTCCACCCAAAAACTAATTGGCAATGGGGGGAGTAGCCCAACTCCTTATAAGCCCTTGCTAGGTTTCTTAACTTTCCAATGTGGGACTCTTTACCTTCACATTCTCACAAGGTTAACATGCTCAGTTAAATGATACAAAAAGCAACCATCTTCAAGTCTATATACAAAATGTTTACTTATAAATTATACATGAAATGGGTATTGGAAAAGTATATGGTTTCCAAAAGCATCTAACGAAAAATAAATTTCATGTCCCTAAAAAACATGAGGAGTTCTACTTTGTGGTTTGGGGCATGTAACAGTTTGATCCATATCTTTTAAAATTGACAAAAACAACCCTTAAAATTACAAATTATTATTCCATATCGGGAGATTCTCTAATAAGTATTTTATTTTAAGGATTTGTTACATATTTCTAATCTTGGTCGTTGAATTACATTCATTAAATGTATTGGTAGGCTTTAAGATGCAATCCAACGATCGAAATTAGAAGTATGTAACCAATCCTTAACTTAAATAGTTATTGGAGAATGTCTCATATCATTAACCCTCCAATCCGTATGTCAAACTATCAAGTTAACCATTTTTTTGTTGAGCATGACACTTCTTGGACTCATTTTTCGGTTATGTGGGTACCATATTAGATTTTTCTATAAAAAGAAAAAGAAAAAAAGGTTCTTATTCATTAGTTCATGTAACATTGAGCTGACAGGCGGAAGAGTGAATGGTATAACAATTTGTTGTTCAAGTGTGAGTTTTATCAAATTTTAAAAGATAGGGACCAAACTATTATATGCCCATAACTATGTGGGTGGAAAGTCTAATTAGCTAAAAAATAAAGTTCAAGAAGAGCGTTGCAGCTTACCACATAGGACACAAAAAGCTACGACTTCGCAGCTGAGAAATGCGACAGGAAAAGGAAACTCCATAGCAAACAGAAATCCATTTCGTTTCCTCCTCCTCCGATTCTCACTAGAATTCAGCAAGCCCTCATCGCTCTCTTGAAACCCTAGCTCTTCTTTAATTCGCATTTCCAGTTCACTCTACTTGATCTCAACCACAGGCTCCAGTTCTCCGAAAATGGTTCGGCTTCTCTCACTTTGCACCATTCTATTATAAATGGTGTATGATGTTGTTTGCTTCATAACTGGTTTTTCGTATAATTAAGATAGTGTGGTATTGGTAGAATTGTAATTGCATGAGAACCCTGAAAAGCATTTGGTAAGCCTTTTAGGCAAACACTGTGAATGTGTTTGGATTGTTTGATATGTGAATTGCATTGCATTAGGTTGTTAGTTTTAGCCAAAAGATAAATAGGAATACTTGGAAGTTGGAACCCAATTATCTTATTGTGGGTAATTCTTGAGCACTGGGGTTTTTGTACCTCTTGCTATTCTACTAACTTTGCTTTTAAGCATCCTATATTCTGTAAAGTTTCAATTTTTAATTTGTGGAGCAAATCTAAGACTTCTGACTTCTTTAGGGAAACAAAGGGAAGACACTTTCACAACTTCTACTGATCTAACTAAGCAGTAGCCTCACATTAAATGTTAAAGAACATTACAGCTACTTGATAAATCATGATGCTCCGAATATAAAGACATTTGTTCCACTCAGTAAACAATGGGTTGATAGATCTTGGAACAAAATAGGTTTGTCATTTTAAGCAATGCTGTGGTGGTGCTGGGGAAGGGGTATGTCCTAGTCCTTGCTCTGTGTCTTGCTTCCAAAATTATGCACAGTAGGCCTGCTGCTTACGGAAACATGTTGTTTTCGAGGTGGAGCAGAGAATAAGGGATAAATGGCGTAGGAACATTTTTAATACTGGAAATTCAATATACATAGCTTAAGATTTGTAAAAACTGCCTATATCACATTATTTATGATGTTTTTGAATCTTTCTGCCAGTTCTGTGTATGAAAATGTGGCGAGTCTTTGCAGGCATCATCATAACTGAAGTCTTCTGGAAGTATAATTAATATCCCAGATAATCATAAACTTTAAACACATAGAGACATGCATGCATACAGTTTCCCTTTTGAAAATGTAAGCCTGGGTTTTACAATCATCTATGCTGTTTAAGTAATTTTTTCCATAGGTACATCCAAAGTTTTTTTTGGAAAGTGAATGAATCATGATAATTGTCCTTATTGTATTGGTTTGCTTATATAAGAAACACATTTACTTCTATACCTTTTTTTTAAAAGTTACATATATTTCAGAAATTCAAATTTGTTTGCCTGTTTGTTTCAGTTTGGTTTTATACTTCTTTTCTAAATACAAACCTCTAGGTGTCATGTGAAGGAGATATCATGTTGGTAAAAAGAAATGCTGAAGAGAATGTTGTGTTAGAAGGAAAGAGGAAAAGGAAGAAGAAGAAGCAAGTTACCACACCTCGTCCTGCGTGCTCATGGGTGTATTTTAGGTAACAATCAATTTCTTTCACTTGAATTCATTCTGTATTAGCATATGCCTCTTTCTCCTTGTGTACTGGCTTGCTAATGTTGAAATCAACTATTTAGCCGAGACTTTATCAAGGAATACAGCGCTTCGCATCCTGAATCCTCTGGCCTTAAAGCTGTGAGCCTCTTTCTGTTCACTCGCAAAATGTTTGGCAGTGTGTAATTTACTTTGATAATAAAATTAAAACATAATAAGGCATCGTGACCTTTTCATTTCAGGCCACGAAGGCAGCTTCAGATGCATGGAAGTCTATGAGCCTTGAGGAGAAAGCAAAATACACAATGCGTGCTCGTGAAGTGTGGGATAACTACTTGAGTACAGCCCCCACCCGTACCCCTAAGCCAAGAAAGCAGGTACCAATTATTTTTCTGGTGACAGTTGTTTATTTGTTCATTGGATTGGGCGAATCTTACAGCTTTGACAATGCAGGCTAAACTAGTCACAAGATGCTCTCCTGGCCGCTTATTCAATGTGATACAGCGCCTCACAACTGAACAAAAGGCTGCCGTGAAGAGCATGGGTTTTGGGAGCCTTCTTGACCTTAGATGCCGAACTCTCCGCCGCAGCTTGTGTCTTTGGCTACTGGAGAGGTTTGACACTACACAACGTAGCTTGGAGATTTGTGGAGAACGTATTCCTTTAACACCAAAAGATGTCGAGCTTGTGATGGGATTAGCAGCTAGTGGGAAGGATGTGGTAAACTCAGGGCCTGATGACTTGATTGCGGACTTGCGGCACAGTTATGATGCTACAAATCATGGTATTTCAGTCAGGCTCCTAGAAGAGAGGTTGGCAGAGCCTGAAGCAGGAGAGGAATTTAAGAGATCATTCGTCCTCTATGCGTTGGGCACTCTTCTGTCCCCAACAGCAAGGTTGGATGTCAGCCCTTCATTCCTTCACTTCTTGACGAATGTGGATGTTGTCCACCAGTATAATTGGGGGAAGTTCTTACTCGACCGGCTAGTTTGTGAGGTATCTCGTTTTCATCAAGGGAAGCAACGTGCAGTTGGTGGCTGTCTTCTGTTTCTCCAGGTAAAATACTCTTAAAAATGCGTTCATCTTAGTTATTGGACACATACCAAACTTTATTTTCTGAAATCTTATATCTTCTCAGCTCTTTTATTATGAAAGTATCTCTGTTGAGGAAAATGGTGCCTTGGCCCCTGCTGTTGTTCCATTCCTATCTTCATGGGGCGAGGACGAGATTACTGAAAGGGAGAAGCGGGAAAGAGAGCTTGGTGGTTATGGATGTGGGGAGGTACATTTACATTTTGGAAGTTTGATACTAAGCCATATATGGGGTTGTCATACTTGCTGCTCCTTTGCAGGTGGTATGTAGGGAGAGGTGTTTTGATTTGGATTCTTGCGAGTTTATAGGTCAATTGGATAGGCCACCAGAATGCAATATAAGTAGTGGGGTTGAGCATGATGCTCCCTTTGAGCATAAGGAGAATCAGGTAATGACGGATGGATTATGCTAAATTGTTTTATTTTAGCATTAGGCAGAAGCTTACAGCAATAACAACAACAACAACTACTATTGTTATGGGATTTCTTTGATATGGTTATATATATAGGGCTTCACACTTGTGGCATATTGGTAAATTCTGCATAAAAAGTTATTCTTTGTCCTGTCTTCTGTATTGGGGCAGACAGTGTTCAATGCCCTTGGGGACATGGTTGTTGTTTTCTCATGGATGGACTACAGGAAACCACATTTATGCATCATTCATTTTCAAGCTGGGAAGAAAAATGTTTAGCTCTAACCAACTCTTTTTTCTGTTGTAATTATTTACCGACATATCTTCCTTGACATTATGAACCTGAAAAGCTAATATATTGTTTTTGGGAGTGCCTCTTAACGAGGTTTCTTGTTTGTCACTTTCCAGTTGCACCATCTGATAAACACACACACAGGGACGCACAGACTGCACTGTCCCTTTTACTCTTTTGTTACTGTTTAATATATATCAATTATAGGAAAAGAGTTACATAAATACTTATGCTTGTATATTTTATAGGTTGAAGAACAGGTTGGTGAATTTACTTTGGAGGAGGTAATGATGATTTTATCTGTTAGTCATTTTTAAGCTTTTCTGATATTTTCTCTGTGTATTTCGTGTACATATTGGTGAAGTAACAGATGACCCTGACTGCAAAAAAAAAAAAAAAAAAAAAAAAGAAGTAAAGAAATACAGATCATCCTGCCATGGAAAGTTTGAGGAAAAGGACAAAAAAGGAAACAAAAATAGAAATACAGCAAATATATATATTTTTTATATCCATCGTCCTGGTCTGTTGTTTCCTATAAGGTGATTTCCTTGTTAGAGATCTCTTCCCAGGGTTAGTGTAAGTGTAACAGCAGAAATTCTTAGGACATTTGCAGTGTCTGATAATCTAAGTCGTAAATTCTGGGTTTCTTCATCAAACAGGCTTTGAAGGATCTTAATCTAATAGGCTCTAAAGAGAAAAGAAAATGACAGAGAAAAAAAAATAATTTTATTCACTAGGATGTCTTGGTTGCACAAGTAAATAAATAGGTCGTAAATTTTATAGCATGAGTTTTGAAGTTTTAACTGTTTTGTCCCGCATCATCTTATGACATTGTCAGCAATCATTTTGTTTATTTCTACAGGAAAATATGCTAGTGTTTGTTAGGAATAAGGACATAGTGTGTGGTGAGATTGAACTAGTAGTTGAATCAGTCAGAAAACAATGCCGGAACAGAGATTATGGGTGTGATGAAATAGTGGATTATATGAAGAATAATGACCATGAAGAAACATGCATCTATGGACCATGTTCATGCCCCCTTCCAGACTGCAACTTTGTTAGCTCATCTGAACAGTTGTCACTGCATTTCAGCAGCAAGCATTGGGATTCTGGAAGGCGTTTCAGATACAACACCCCTTTAGCTGTCTCGTTGGGGATAAACGAAGAATTTCTTGTTCTTCAAGCAGAGGAGGATGGCGCTCTCTTTCTCCTCAACAAGGGTACAGAAAGTATTGGAAACAGAGTCATGATAACTTCAATCAGACCAATATCTTCAGAAGAAAGGTTCGCATATAACCTAGTATCAGGACGGGGAAACAGTTCTCTCAGATTCAAATCAGTGACAGAAAACTTTCCAGGCCGGGTGGAAGGGTTCCCCCAAATGGATTTTCTTCTGGTTCCATTTTGTTTCTTCACTTCGTCTGGGCAACTCAACTTAGAAGTATGTATACAGAATACCACAGAACTCACTGCAGATTGCCCTTGATTGAATTATTCATTCTTAAGGTTGCGGTACAGGACTCAACTAATAATATCACTTAAGCTGTCATTATGTGCATGTTAGGGTTTTTGGAAATTGACCTTGTAAGCGACTAAGTGTAAAACAGTACACCAAATGCAGTTCACCTCCCATAGTTTAGTCTTGACAGGTTTGCCTGAGAATTGATCTGCCTATAGATTACAGGTAACCGGATCTTTATAGTCACCCCACTACTTGGAAACTCTGTGAGGACTATTGTTGTATGCTTTCTTCGGTGACATGCTGATCTGTATATATGATAGGATGAAAAATCAATTAGGTGTTAGGGTCTAGAGGCTACTGGGAAATGATGTTGAGGCGATTGGTACCCTGTACTGAACCTCTTGAGATATGTTTCTTCTACAATATGGTATGTTTTTCAAAATTACTGGGAAAAAAAGTCTGCAACAATACTATTGATGCTGTATTAAATTGTTACATTTATTTCTTAACGAAGTACAGAGGTATAACGGTAGAGTGCATGTTGTAGATGCTTTGATAATTTTTAGCTTTCTTTGTTTTGTTCAATTCCACGAAAGCTATTCTCCCTGGAAGTGGTACTACTGACCTTATTGTGTGAGGACTGAGGTCCCATAAAAGCCCTGTCCCATGGAAGAACTTATTGTGGTCCGATGAGTGAATCTCGGTCTTGCAAGTATCATTTCATTCAGAATAAAATGCGATCTATGCTTGTGGCTTATATTTGTATTTAATAATGTGGTTATCACTCTCATAGGGGGCTAATTTGCATGATAAGAGAAATAAACACATAGTTGTATTCAACCGTTTGTAGGGAAGAATTGGTCCATTTGGATTTTTCCAAAGTGAGACAGAAGAACTTCCCATGGTCCTCACGGTATTTTCCGAATCTCGGACACGTGTCGAGATTTAGGCCGAATCTCGGACACATGTCGAGATTTAGGGCGATGAGTGAATTCAGTCCAACAAGTATCATTTCATTCCTTAAAGAACATATATATTAATTTATGTCCCTTTTTAAACTCCAAAACCAATAATGTTTCTTCCGCATATATATAGAACAAGAGACCAGTACACATCTATCTAATAGTAGATACCAGAGGGTGTTGCTGATCCAGCGTTATACTGAGCCGCAGAAGTGTTAGGTGGGATCATGAAGGCAGGTGCAAAATTAGTGTGAGGGTACCCTTCTGAGTTGGTCAACATCACAGGTCTCGAATGACCATATTCACCTACTGCTGGAAATCCTGCAGAGAAATCTTGCAGGCCACGAAATTCAAGCCCTTCTGCATTGCCATGAAAACCCGTACGACCCATCATGGGAAAAACATTGCCCTGCAATTTTCCGTGATGCGCAGCACCAATCAAATTTCCATTTCCATCCACAAAATTACCAGATCCCCAGCCATGTTGGCCTTCACTGCCAAAGAAGGGTGGGAGCAAAAGCTGATTTTCAGAGGCTAAATTGAGGCCATTCATAGGAGCTTTTGTTTGGTTGGAACTTGGAGACCAAGGCTCTGCATGTTTACCAGCTTTGCCCAGCTTTCTGATTAAAGTAGCAAAATCTACATTTCCTGTGACTGTGATCTTCTGTTCTTCTGCATCTATGTGTACACTATAGACACCTGAATTCAATTAAACATTAAAAGTAAGTTAGGGCAGAACCAGTAGATAAATAATTAATGTAAATAGATTCAAAAGGAAACCGGCTGAGATAAATGATAAAGCAGAAATATATTATGTTTCACTACCCAACAGAAACATACAATGTAAAAAACTGAGATCTGATGTGGGGCCTAGGCTTAGTTGGAAAAATCATTATACACAGAATAGAGAATCACAAACTCAGATATTCACACAGAAGTGCCACTCAAACGAAGGCTTCTTGCTGTTCATCATACCATCAGAAAAAAGAAAAAAAAGGATAAAAAAGAAACGGATTGGCATATATATAAACATTAGGGCAAAAAACATGTTAGCTTGTAGCAGTCATACAAATAAGATAAAGGTAAAATCTATATTAAAAACACATAAATAGGGCATGCTCAAAGTTAGAACTTATTAGAACCTTCGATCTTCCTGAGGAGTTTTCTAACTTTCCGCACGCATCCTTCACAGTTAATGTGTACTTTGAGAGAATGTGTCTGTAGAAACACAGCAAAATGAAAACCAACAAAGTGAAAGCAAAAAATCAATGGATAGTAAAGATGACAACCAAAGTACAACAAGATGCTTCATTTTTATGCATTACAGAAAACGAAAACGAAAACGAAAACGATAGTAATGTGGTGGAAGGCTTATAAAGAGGTGGAAAGTGGAGAGGAGGAGAGGACCTTAATATTCACGAACTCAAATTCATTTGTCGTCATCTCTCAAACACAGATTTCAATTGCTCAGACTCAGAGAAAAGATGTCTTCTTTTCTTCTTTCTCGATAGTAACTAGTGCTTGAATTTCCTTCCTTTTATGGAGGTCTTTTGTTTGTCACCCTTATAATCTCAAAACAATTCTGACAAGACAAGGACATAGACAGAAGGGTAGGGGGCCGGTGCAGTGCAGAGGTTCGAAAAGTGTGTGATTTGACCAAGGCGTGGCCTACACTCTATCTCCTTCCTCCTTACAATAATGTCTTCCCTCCCACACCTGCTGTTGCGATTTGCCCTAACCATTTTGGTGCAATAGTACTAGATAGATAGATTAGTTTTTTTTGTTGTTGTTGTTGGACAGATAGATTAGTAATTTTCTCATGCGCAATGCATTATTTTATTTTTTTACTTGAACTTTTATTATAATTTTGGTTCTATGACACTATGACAATGGTCAGTTCAAGTTCTCATTACATTGGACAGTTCAAAATCGATTTGCTTTTCAACAATTGGTATTTTAGTCTGCACAAATATATACCTTTCGTTATATATAAATCAAAGTATAGAAAATCAAAGTAGAAATCATTGTGAATCACATCCTAGTAGAGAAAATCAAAGTAGAAAGGATAGGATAGCCCTAGACTAGTGCAAGGTCACTACTAATTCACTTTATTTCACACAAAAATAACATATACCATCCATGCAGCCTCCAAGCAAATCCAATATGCCACACCTCATTGGTACCACTAACGTAATTTTGAGGTTACTTTTGTCAGTTGAAGAAAATATTTTTATGATATCAATAAATTTTGGACGGAAACTAATGAATTTGTTTTTGCAGAAACAATTCGAAACCTCAAGAATCATTAGTATAATTAGGGACTTTGTGATAACACACCAAAAATATTATGAGGTGTAAATGTAAATAACTCTACTTTACTTATAAAATTTTATTGTTTGAGCTGCCTAAGAGAGAAGGTTTAATTTGATGAGTAAGTAATTATTGAGTGATTAGGAGCTTAAGCAGTTCTAGGAAAATACTAAATTACCTTTATGAATATGAATTCGAGTTTTGGCTTTTAAAAAAAATAATTTAATACAAGTGATAGTTTGCCAATGAGGTATAGCCTAGTGGAAAAGGGTCTTAACTTGCAGACTAGTGGTCTCAGGTTCGAACTGGTATCAATTGTGTGGAGTCATTCTATAGTGATGGCCTTATCTAAAGCCCTTAAATGATGCCCTATCTCTTAACCATTGGATCAAACCAATAGGAATAAGGCTTCATTTAAGGGCTTTAGATAAGGCCCTCACTATAGAGTGCAGATTTACCAATGCCTCTAGGGCCTTCTAGAAGGCATGTAACAAGTGGTTTTTTTCTTTTCTTTTTGAAACCGCTTGATTTATCTTGCTCCACTAGTTTTGTAGCTCTTTGATGAATGAGGGCATGTCGATCACCACAATCGACCATGTCATTTGTTGATGTTGGCTCACTTAAAGATGCGGAATGATTGAAGGAATTGGGCAGTCAAACGAGTCGAAGACGTATTGTCTGGGCTTTGGCACTCGAACGGCATAGGGAAGGTTTTCATCTAGGCGCAGGTGCTTGAGCGACAGAACTTAGATTCGAGTGGACGCAAGAGCTCGAGCAGCGCATGTAGGGCTCAAGCGGGACTCGTGAATCCAATGCATATCCGTGGCAAATCTGGACAAATTTTTTTCTTAGTTTTTGAATGTTTCACCATTCTTTGCATTGGCGGAGCCAATTAAGGCCCACAAGGGTCACTTGACCCTTCTCAATATTTTGAAAACCTTATATTTATCTATGTTATCCATGTTGTTTTATAGCTATACTTATTGTTGACCCTTCTCACAAATGTAAATTGTTTACAATGAACATGAATATGATCTATATTTGTTTTCCTATCTTCGTATTTCATTTAGATGAGTGTGCCATAGATTTTATTTGATTTTCTCATTCCATCTAAAATCAACTTTTGATACTCTTTCATTATTTTTAGGTTACTATAGAATTTGGGTTATACTTACTAAGATATTAAATTTGTGATATTGAAATTTAATTGTTATAAATGAATTCTTAAATATATTTTCCCATAAAAACTAAGTTTATTGTAATTATAAATCTATTTAAAGTTGACCCTGCTTGATATAATCCTGGCACTACTACATTTTAGTCTTTGCGCGACGAAAGGGTATTCGTCGCGCAAAAATGATTTTAGTCGCACATCATTATGCGCGACAGAAGTTTCGTCGCGCACAGTCCGTCGCGCAAAGTTCGTGAAGAAAGGATTTGCGCGACGAACAAATGTCATTCATCGCGCAGTTTGCGCTACGTACAACAACTTCGTTTCAAAAAACATTTCGGGACGACCTCATTGTCCATCGCACAAATATTTGCGCGACGAAATAGTGGTCGTCGCAAAAAAAAACTGCGCGACAGAATTTTGTTTCGCGCGAGCTACATTAACCTTGCGCGACGAAATCTTATTCGTCGCGCATACACATTTTGCGCAACGAAATTATTCGTCGCGCAAGATTAAAATATATTTGTCGATTTGTTATTTAAATATTTTTGCGCGACGATTTACGTTTCGTCGCGCAAAAGCAATATTTATTATTAAAAAAAATTTATTATTATTTGATTTTTAATTTTGTAAAAAAATTAATTTGGTTTGTTTTTTTAATTAAAATGAAATTACAATAAAAAGATTAATCGTAAAGAAAACATCTATTAT